AAAACCTAAGCAAAAATTCTCCATAGCCATCCCTTTTCTCAGGAAACTTACCATTTCTTTGATTTTTATGTTTAATCATAGGCAAAAGAAACCACCATGCTGACAACAGCTCTTTTCCCATTTTCCTTTCACATATTTGCTGATAAAAAATATGTATACATTTAGGGGCTGGCCTGGTGGCGCAAGCGGTTAAGTGCACACCCTCCACTGTGGTGGCCTGGGGTTCGCCAGTTCGGATCCCGGGTGTACACCGACACACTGCTTGTCGAGCCATGCTGTGGTGGCATCCCATATAAAGTAGAGGAAGATGGGCATGGTTGTTAGCTCAGGGCCAATCTTCCTCAGCAAAAAAAAAGAGCAGGATTGGCATCAGATGTTAGCTTAGGGCTGATCTTCCTCACACACACAAAAAATGTACGTATACATTTAAAAGCTAGCACGATCCTGCTGCGCTTACAGTTCTGTATTAACTTACTTGGAGAAGCTCATAGCCAGTCTCACAGACGACGGAGAAGCTGTCTCTCAGGATGTATTTGGCTTGCACAGGTGTGATGTGGCCATTAGGTGGTGCCGTCGGATCAGGGCAAGGCTGAGCTGCGCGGAGGAAACCAGGCTCATTGGTTTGATGTGGTCTACAGCAGGAAGTCTGAATTTAGCAATTTGAAGTTCTTGATTTGTAAATGAAAGCCTTAACATGTAGAGAGCCTGCCACAAGTAGGGTAGAGTTCTGCAGATTTAAAACCAAAGACAAGGTTCGAGGCTCGGTTGGTTGTGCAAATTAGGGTTTGTTGCTTTGCCTGGGCCTCAGCCAGAGCAGTGTGAGAAGGCCCGGCATGCGGGAAGATGTGCGGTCACACAAGTGGCGCGTCTGCCCCACACCAGGGATTTGACACTGCTGAAAACCAAGCGAGTGCAACTGGAAGGGAGAGAGCTGGACTCCAGGGTTTAAGTCACAGCTCTCCATGTCCCAGTGGTTATTTTGAAGCTCTCTGAGCCTCGGTCTCCACATGTGTAAGATGAGAGGGATGAGAATAGTTGCTCGCCCTCCATGGGGATCCCGAGGATGGAATGTAAGGCTCCTAGGCCAGTGCTTTGCTAGGTGCTCACAAAGAGTGGGTTGCAGTGACCCCTCACACAGGGAGAAACCTGGGGTTCAAATCTCGACTGGCACTCAGGGGGCCTCGTGTCTCCCCTCGTGAGCACGCACCCACAGTGCTCAGGCCTCCAGGGAGACTGTCTTCTACTTTGGCGCCCAAACCCTGGCTTGCCGTCACCCCAAGGCTTCAGCCCATCCCCCACAGCCAGCTACCCCTCAGGACACGCCTGTCATTTGCTGAGTTCCCTTCTCCAGCAGCTGATCTCTGTCCTGGGGTGGCTCAGTCCCAGGCAGCCCCGAAAGTCTCCGTCAGGGAACCAGTCTCCAGGGACAGCGCTGGTGGCCCTGTAGGAGCCCAGGGCCTTTCCAGGCCAGCGCCGTGCTGGCACCTTCCTTCACAAGCACCTCGAGGCTTTGCCCTGGCCCCTTCTCACCCACCAGCCTGGCTGACCTGATTCTCCACTCTGACTCGCTCTGAAACCAGTGCTTCAGTTTTAGAGGTTTTATTATTTCCACCTACAGGAAAATGAAAGGCTTTGAAAACTGAACAGAAGACAAATGAAATGTTCCCAAAGGGCTGGTGTCTCTCCTGACCAGTGGCTCTCGCCCTTTCCCACACTTCCAACAGCAGTGGCTGAAGGGTTAATCTTCTCTAATTTCTCATTTTTTAAATTACTCTAAGACCTATCATCTAATGCCACGCCCTATGCCCAGTGCCGTCCGTGCATTAGCCCACCAATCTCCACCCTTCCAAGGAGATGTCCTTAATTGGATAATTGGGACATTAAGGCACAGAAAAGTTATGTGAGAGGTTCAGTGTCACACAGCCGGAAAGCAGGCAGTGGTACAGCAGGACGCAAACCTAGGCAGCTGACAGCAGAGCCTGTGCTCTGCACCACAGCTAGGCCTGGGGCTCTTGGCTTCGGCGCCACCTCCAGTTCCTGTGTCCCCACCTTGGTTACTCTGTTCTTCCAATAACGTTGACAAGAGGTTTTCACATATTGGGGTATGTGGGGTAACTGTTTGAGTTCAAAACTGATTCGGCTTGAACTAGAGAAGCCTGACTTATGGCCTGTGGAACATACGTTGTACATCTGCTTTAACCATGACAGGAAAGAATGCACTCTCTCAAGATAATGCCTACTTCCCCTCCTACGCCCATTGGTGACACCACGATTAGCCCCTTTCCCGACATCCGGGTCAAGTTGACGTTGACCTGCTAGTTTACAACTGAATACCTCTTTGAAACTTTGGTGAATATGTATCCTGGGTGTATTTAATGTATGTTCTTTGTTCTAAAAAGGTATAAGACTGTACTGAAAACCATGCTTCTCTGGACCGCTTTCTTCTGTCGTGGAAACTGCCTTCCCGGATTATAATCCTCACCCTGGCTCAAGTAAAACTCCCCTTCTCTCTCTCATCGGATCTGTAGAATGGTTATTGGTTATTTTGCGTCAGCAACATCCTGAAAGACCTGTTGGCTGAGAGTGGTGAGAGGGACAGATGTGTCCAGAGGTCAGTGCTCTGGACGGTGGGGAGACTATAGCTTGTGTCTAAGAGGGTAGCACCAATGGGCTGCTTTAGGTTGAGAACTACCTTCTAGTATTTGAGGGTCTGTCATGAGGAAGAGGTGGTGGAAGGCCTGCGCAGCCCCCCGGGGTCGAGCCAGGGCAGTGGAGGTGGTTCAGAGAGGCAGAGTTGATAGGCCCCAGCTGCAGACTCCCTCAACTGTGGCTCTAGTCCAAACCCTCTGTGATGCAGAGACCCCATCTCAGCCCACCCCAGCTCACCCTCGACAGCTCCACACCATCAGCGGTGGAGCTTCGGGGCTTTTGCACACACTCTTCCCTTCTGCCTGGAACACCCTTCCGCCCTCCTCCACCACTTACTTATCCTTTAAATCCAGTCTCAGGTCTTTCCAGTCTCAGGATTCCTTCCCAAGCACCCAGCTCCTGCCTGGGCCAGGTCTCTCCTCTGGACTCTCCCCATGCCCGGTGCTTGGCTGTGCTCGTCACAGGGCTGAGGTTATGTTGCCGTGACCAGATGGGGCTGAGGGCAGAGGCTGTGGGGTGAGTACTGTGGCTTCTGCATTACAAATCCCCCACACAAGGCCAGGTGCACATCCATAGGATGGATGAATGGACGAAGAGAAAGATGGAGAGAAGGGTGGGTGGAGGGAAGGAGAGAGGTAGGCCAAGAGGAAAGATGGGAGGGAGAGGAGGTTGGAGGGGTGCATGTATGTGAAGGGTGACAGAATATGGCACTCCAAAATATGCCTCTTTGGCATAGGATTATTTTGAGCAAGAGCAGACACAGGAGAAGCTCTGAAAACAGAGTAGAAGTTATTCTTTTCTTTGGGAACTTTACAAAGGAAATCTCCATTTGTAAGAGTGTCTCCCTCTCTGTACCAGGAGAAGGAGGACTAAAGCTCTGGAAACTCCTATCAATGGAGAAGGCAGGGTCTTCAATCTGCATAACAAACCTGACTCTTGTTTACCATACCTTTCCTGGCCCCCTCCCCCTAACTGGCCTCCCACACTCCCTTCTCTCTTTTGTGTTTAGCTGAAGATGGTATTTAAGCCTGAATTCTAAGCCACCTCTGAGACTTCCTCATTTTCCCTGGGTTATCTCCGGTGTATACTTGAGATATACATGTTAATAAACTTCTGTTTGTTGTTCTCTTGATAATCTGTCTTTTGTTCCCAGTCAAGGGTAAAGGGAAAATTTTTTTTTTTTCCTCCTACAGAGGAAGGAGGGCAGGGTGGCTGGAACAAGGGAATGAGGGAAGGAGAAAGGAAGGATGAAGGGGTGTGTGGATGGCTGGCTGGAAGGAGGGATGGATGGTGGGTGGATGGATGGCTGGAAGGAGGGGTGGTTGGATGGTGGGTGGCTGGCTGGAAGGAGGGATGGATGGATGCGTGGGTAGATGAGTGGTTGGGTGGTATTTACCCTTAGGGGACCATTGCCTCCCACTCAAACCTGGTCTGTCGTCTGATGGAGTTCAGGACACAGTACCCCAGAATATGGCGCCTTGGCATGTTGAATATTTTAAGCTGGGGAATTTGAGAAAATGGCAGAAGATCACTCTGACACACCTTCTTCCCCGAAGCAGGTCATAAGACCCTCACATGGGAGTTGCCCTCCCTGTACCCAGAGAAAAGCATTATTTCCATAGACAAGGTGACTCCCAGAAGAATCTGAACAAGCAGGCCTTGCTAAGGTTCCCTCAGTTTACTGCGCTGACCTCATACCCCTAACCATATTCCTCATATTCCTCCACGCCCATCCACTCTTCATCAAACCTACCACAAAGGTACACGGCTCGAGCTCTGTCTTTGGGTGTTCATTTCCTGTGCCATGTAAAACTTATGTGAAATAAACATGTATGCTTTTCTTCTGTTAATCTGTCTCTGTCAGTTTACTTTTCAGACCCAGTCAGGGACTTTAAGAGGGTCAAGGAAAACTTTTTCCTCCTCTACACTTCCCAGGCCTGGCAAGGAAAAGTTCCATCCTAGGTAGCTCCTTGACGCTCCTGGAGGAGCTTCCTGCCGGAGTGCGAGACCCACCTGCCCTCACCTGTGCTGGTGTAGCGGATCTTCCAGCCTGTGTGGTCCCCTGACTGATCAGTGACAAAGGTGATGGTCACGGTGTTGCTCTTGGTTTCAATCCTGTGAGGCAACATCTTTCCACAAAATGGGCCATACTCTTCTTTGTCTGTGTGAATCTGAAAGCAGAGAGGCCCCTGTCACCTCAGGCCCTGCAGGAGCCGGGATGAGGTGGGGGTCCTGGGAACCAGACCTTGAGGGAGTCGTAGGGGCACTGCGTTTCGGGGTGCATCTCCACGTCGAAGGACTCCACGAAGTCCAAGATGACACTGAACCCCTCCTCCAGGCAGATGCTGTAGGTGCAACTGGAGAGTTTGGGGTATGGCTGTGGGTACTCAGGGCTGCTGATTGCCCCAGACCGGTCGGTGAAGACCTGGCCTGAGCACAGGGCTAGGAAGAGGGGAGAGGACGGGGCGGTGTGAGCCAGGCGCCGGCAGCATGAGCCAGCCCCACGTGTCCGCCCTGCACACGGACAGCCCCAGGGGTGCCTCTGGAGACCAAACTCCCCAGGAGCTGAAGGGACAATTAGGGAGGGGGATTCTCTGGCTTTAGCTGAAACAGGCAGTACTCAGATGTGTGTTCTCCAGTGGCCACTCTCACCCCCAGAGAGGGTGGGACCCTAAGCTGAGGCTCTTGGTGTGGGGAGTCCTGGGCCAAAGTCACAACCCCCGGGGTGAGGGCAGTGGGCGAGGTCAGGCTCTGCCCAGGGGCAGGAGGCACCAAAAGAAGGGAGGGGGACTCTCCTTGTTCCCTAGGAATTGGGGGGGTTGAGGGCAGGTGAGTCTCCTTGGGCTGAGGCCCCCTCACCCACCCCTGACCCCAGCAACTCCTAAGTTCATCCACCAGGGGACTCCCAGCCGCATTCAGCCCAGGCAGGTCCAGCCTCCCCTGGGTCCCCGCCTGGAACAGTCAGGAGGTCAGGAGGGGCCTCCCCTTGCCCACCTTCCCTGAGCCTGGGCTCTGCCCTGGGGGGCAGTTGAGGGAAGTTCAAGTCCACACTGAGCATAAACCAGTCTGGTGCCCTCTTTCCCCACTGGAACAGGTAATTCTGCCCTTGCAGAGGGAACGTCATTTGTGGGAGGGGTCTGCCCCCATCTCCCCCAGGCCACGGAGGGGGATGCAGGCATTTGAGCTGGGAGGCTTCTAGGAAGTGAGGAGTCCCAGCAGTGCCTCCCTTCCTCCGTGTGGCTGCTCCCCACGGGGCAGAAGGAACAGCCCCTGGACGTGGGGGACCAGACTGTCCGTTGATGACTACCTCCCTGGGCCTCTCTACTCCCACATGCGGGGCACATGCGGGGCCTGAGTTGCCCTCTGAACAGGAGGTGGTCTGAGAACGCTCTGAGCTCAGCCCCGGGGACCTGGTGGGGAAGTAGAGAGAGCTCAGTTCCCCTGTGTGAACTCAGGCCAGCCCTGCCCTATCTGGGCCTCTTCCAAATAGGAGGGCCAGAGCAAGCCCTTCTGGCAAAGGAGCCTGTGGCCCCTGGAGGGGGCTCCCCCCACTAGGGCTCATCTGACTATGAGAAGGGTGGGGAGCGGCGGGGGTGCACACCGCCACCCTCCCCCCCCCCGCCACACCAGAGACACGCAGCAGCAGCAGGTGCAGGTGGAGCCAGGTTTATTGTTGGGTCTGTGGTGGGGTGAATGGGGGCTGCAGGCAGCAGCAATCTTGGCCCGACCCAGAGCACAGCCGGTGGGGCTTGCTCTGGCTCTGACCCGCTTGGCAGGCCGGAGCCAGAGGGGAGGCTAGAGTCTCTGTTCTGGAAGAGAGAACAGAGAGACAGGGAGAGACGCAGGGGAGACACCGGGCAGGGGAGGCAGGGTCAGCGCCGTGGGTTGGGGCTTCCCACTCCCCAGGGCACTAGCTGATTTCCCATCCAGGCACCTGGCAGTGGAGGCTTAAGGGGTCGGCCTGCTGGGGGCCAGGAACCCGTGGCCCTGAGCAGGCCTAGGCACCCCACTCCTCCCCGCAGAGCCACCCAAGGAAGGTGAGGTGGCTGTATGGGGGAGGTCCCAGAGCCCAGACGGGCCAGGTACACAGTGGGGGCCTAACACATGCTAATCAAGTGAATTAGCTGAAGAGGAAAGGGAGTGAGCCCGGGATGGGACAGGAGGGGGAGGAGTAAGAGAATGTGAAGGGATGAATGGTGGGAGGGCACAGAAGATCAGAGAAGGGGCCAGCCACCGCCCGGGGCCCAGGAGAAGTGCCCAGTGGGACAAGGCCAGCGGTCCCTCCAGACCAGCTGCGGCCTGGAGGAGCCGACTGTGTCCTGGGGCGGGGTGGGGGCTGGGCCGGGCGCAGGGTGTGGTCCTCCCCTCCTTCCGCCTGGGCGGCTCACCTGAGCAGGTGCGCTTGTTCTGGTGGAGCACGTAGCCCGCACGGCAGGAGCAGTAGAAGCCACCCAGGTGGTTGTGGCAGTGGTGGTCGCAGGCGGGGGCCTCTCCTGGGGGCACCTGGCACTCGTCGATGTCTGGGGGAGGAGCAGGCCAGGCGGGCAGTCAGCAGGGGAAGAGATGGGACTGCCCTGGAGCCTGGGCTCAGCTTCAGCCCTCCAGCCTCATGGCTGACCTGAGAGGAGCCTCCCCATGTCCGAAGGTGGCTGGTGCCCAACCAGGCACTAGAGCCTGGGGTCAGCCTCCCCGCAACACTTGGAGGGAGAGGTAAATACCGGCTCTTTACAGCAATGACAGCCGGTGAAGGGAGCAGCCAGCAACAGGACCCAGCAGGCGGGGCTGCTGCACAGGTCCCACTGAACTCGCGCAGCCTCCTGAGGAGCACAGAGAGGTTGAGCCACTTGCTCAAGGTCACACAGCTGGTCCTTGCAGGAGCCAGAATCTGAAATCAAGTGTCAGACTTGAAGCCCACGTGCGGATACAGCTCACCGTGCTCTGTGCGTTCTCAGCAGGGCTCAGGCTGGCAGAGCTTCACTTTCTCATCTCTAAATGGGCTCCCTCGGCCCTTGCATTACGGGGGCTGTGAGGATGTCCCTGGCTGGGCACCTGGCACAGAATCGGGGCTCAGCTCCTGGGTGGAGGTCATGGCTGTTTTCAATATTTGCATTGTGGATGATGTTTTACCAAGGTGTGGACTTCTCTCCTGCTGGTTTGGCAGGAACCCAGCTTCAGGGAGGTGGGGAGACTGAAGGGGGGGGCCTGCCCTAGCACAGGGGTGCTCCCCCGCTGCAGATGGGCCATTGGGCCCCCCGGCCGCCTCTCGGCTCACCCTCTGCCGCGTAGAAGGCCTCAAAGCCCGTGAACGGCTTCTCGTTGGAGTAGTCGGAGCGGAAGGTGACGTCCAGGCTGGAGCCCGGGCGAGT